AGATACGAGTTTGTCAAATTATTTTCTCTCAGATATCATAAAGATTCCATTTTCTATTTTCAAACATAAAGTATTTACACCTAAATGACACTGATACAAGAAACATCCCTTAAGGCAGTTTATTAGAATTTATATAGCTACCCCACAAAAGACTTCATACAACAGTTAGTTGTATATTTCTGAAAACCCGTAAACAGATTTGATGTGTAAAACTGATGAAAGTTTTGATGTATTTGCAGTGTGTTTGTATTTCTTCTGATTAGTAGCTCAATAAAAGCAGTGATGTTAATTAGATATTTTATTCTGCAGCGTTACAACCACCATGTTGCTCCTAAAGGCAAGCCCATGCTCACTCTGTGCTTATGCACTATTAATAGATGAAATAAACATAAAAAACATTCGAGCGTTGAGATTCTTTTCCTTAGTAATGCTTCTCTGTCGTTGTTGCTAACCATGTATTGGAGCTGTCAGACTTATTTTATATTTTCCTCTGTGGTCGCTCAGTATTTATATCCTCAGTATTTTTATCCTTTCTGCATACTGTTGCATTCAGTATTATATATTTGTAGTCAGTTTCCTGGCTTTTACAAGTACAAACATGTTACATTCTTCTACAACCTTGTTCGTTTTTGTTTGTTTTTTTTAAATCATCTTTCTGCCTCTTTCCTTGCTCTTTTCTCCCTCTCTCTCAACCCACCTCCCCCCTCCCGCCCTCGCTCTCTTTCATTCTTTGGTTATGAGGCACTGGTCGTTATTATAGGACGCTGGCAAGCTTGCCGTCAGTTGCATTCTGGCGAGAGTCAAGTGCCACAAGGTGCCTTTTTCTATTTGTTTGTTTCATGCAACACTGCACCAGCCACTGACCTGTGGTATCCATGTCGTGCAAGAGGGAGTCAGGTTCATCCAATCAAAAACGGGCTGAAATTAACACTGATCTTTCCATTCCTGAAGAGAGACTGTGGCAAAAGGCAATTTCATGACTATAGGGTGGACTTTTTTTCTATTTTTTCTTTTTTTTTTTACTTTTTACTTTTGGATTATATATATTCTCCTCTTTACATTTTAATGTGTTTGTTTACAGCCGGTTTATGTCATAAACAACAAACCCAGGGTTTAAACTCATCATTGCCGTTGTTATTAATTACAGCCTAAAGTGTTCACCCTCAAAACAATTTTTTTGAGATTTAATCTGAAAGTGCGATATCACAGATTTTGTCTCACTCTGAATTCAATCTGATTCCCTGCAATTCAGGACATGCAATATTCATAGTTGATCCATTGACTGCTATTCAAGCGGGAACTATTTGAAGAGGGAAAGTTCATGTGCATTTTTGATGGATTGTGCATGTCTTCCCCTACTCTATATGGATAGAGCGCTTGTTTGAAGGTCAGTGATTCTCTTCAGTCAGAGTCTTCCCTCTACACTCCTTTTTTTGGGGTGGGGGAAGAATATCTCAAGTCTTCACTCCATATTTTTCAAGTGCTTCTAGGATGACTAGGTTGGATGACCTTGGATCCTGGTGGAGATGAATCTCTTTGAGCTTCCCCTCTCTGCTTTTCTTGAAGAACTCTGTCACGAAGAAAGACAATGACCTTCTGCTGTAAGACTTTTCATGTAAAATATCCACTTTTTTCCAGCTCTCAACCTTTTCATATCTTTGATAGCTCCTGTGTTTCTTGCTGTATGTGTTGAAATACATTTTCCTTTAACATACATCAATAATATCATTCTAGTTACGTGTTCCACTTTTATCTCAAATTACGTCTTTTAGTCAGTATATTTGAAGGGTGGGGTGGGGTCTTTTTTTCTATTAAAAAATGGTACATTTATGTGTGTGTGCCTTTGTGTTTGCATGTAGGTACAAGGGGTTGAACAAGGGTTGAGTGGATCTTGAGAGCTGGCAGGTGCATTATTGCAGCAGGCTGTGCCTAGCTTGACATGTGTGTTCCTAATCTCCTAGTGATATGACAAAGCTGTGTGGGGGCCTGGGCTGGATCTCTTCTGTCTGTTGTGACACACAAATACACACACACTCACACACACACCACAGCCCCCTCTCGCCTTCCTTTCTGTCCAACACACATCATATTCCCCTCTTGACCCTTCAAGAGTACCCCACTCAATCTACTTGCACTTTCTCACACTACATGTGTGATTAATATGTTCTGAGGGAGATTTGTAAAACCATTAGTGCATCAGTTTATGTAGTGATTACATGCATATAGTCTGTGCATTCGAGAAATAAAGCAGAGGCCTCAGATGCCCTTAACATGCATCAAAGTGTGCATTCATTTCAAGCTTGTTTACCTCCTGTTAGTCATCGTAAAGAAGAAAAAAAAGCATTGTGCCAAAAGATATGATGCAGTTGATGCAATCCTAGGATGTAATCTAGGACATGACATAGTGTGTTACATGGTAAGCAACTTCAAGTGTTTGGTTTACTATGTATTTACCTTTAAAAAAAAACCCCAGATTGCTTTCATTTCGCAAGACTAAATGCATGCAAAAAATGCTACAGACAGAGAAACTGTAATACTGAGAAGATGGCAGACCACACACATGATTTGACCCAAAGGCATGAACAGATTACATGTGCATGGGTGTGCTTCCACTTTACCGTGGAGCAACAGCACAAACCATAACACAGGATAAGGGCATATCCTTGTGGGAACAGAGCCAGTGCATCTGACCATGTTGACATTTTACAGTCTGACATCAGATGGAGGGATAGTCCAGTTTGCATCCCTGCATTCAGTCACATAGTTAACAGTGTATAAACTGGAGGTATTACAAGGTATGTTTTTACTCATTAATTAAAAATGCAACGATTGCATTAAATAGTTAAACACATTAATCAAATAGCTGGCTCTTGGGATGAAATTATTTAAAGTAGATTTTTTTTTGGTGAACATTGTTGTCCACTCGTGATAACCCATGTGCATCATCCGAAGCAGCTTCTTCTTTCCTCCGTTTTTACAGTTTACTCCTCAGTCTCCTCCAGCCTCGCCCCAGAGACCAAATGCATCATTTGAGGCTCATACAATTCACTGCTTACCGAGCCACTGGCTCCTACCAGCCTGATAGAGGCATTTTTCGCCACTTAGAAGCATGCACTGTGTGTCCGATCCCTTCCTCCTTAATATGTCCTCTATTACCATCAGGCATTTAAGCCTGTTTTTTCTACTTCAGTGACCACTGAGCACCGGCTTCATTAAAACTAATTGAATCGGAAACATGTCTGCCTGAGGAAACATTAACTCTTTCTATAAAGGAAATTTCCGATTTCACTTTGTCAATAAGGTCAAAGGACCGAGCCCATGTGTTCGATCCTGATACATGCGGTGCCCATAAACGTAATCTCATCCCTAAATTCTTGGGCTATTTCATTTGGGCATCTATCAGCACTGAATGCACTAATTTAGCCTCGATTAGCTTTTTGTGATGAAAAGAAGCAAATAAACAAACAAAAACACCATTTCTCTTTTCCCCCCCATTTATACATTTTTTTTTTAGGCAGAAACCTGAAGGTTTCTTCAGGTTTCTGCTCTCCCACATGATGTTCTGTCAATTTCATTGCATTATTAATTTCTTGTGGTTAGCATAATTGAGTCTTGGTACAAGCATTACATTAATGGATTTTACTGACCACACTTGAAACAATAATTTTATGGCATCCGTCAGAAATCAATGTGCGATAACAGAGCACACACAGCTGTTTAATGTGAAGTAAATATTTATGAGTGATCTGACTAGACATCAAGTTCAGTCAATCTTCTTTGAAAGGATCTGTGCGAATGATTAACCTCATTTTACTGGTGCTGCCTGGGCTGGTAATGGCTATTAGAGCTAAGAAGGAGTGAGGCCTTTGATTTTTGGCTTCTCATCATTCACAGCTTGTCGCATCCCTTCATCCTTCATACACGGCTGCTGAATTGATTGTCTGTTTAGTCCTATGAATGATAAAGCTGCTCTGGGCCACAGGCTGAGAGGGACAGACATGGCTCACCTCCATCTATATGCAAGGTGGATTTCTTTTCCTGCCTCGCCGCTCGGAAATCAGCTTTTTGCATTATTTATTGGACAATCATCAGCATTTCAATATGGTAAATCAAATAGTCACAGTAATATAACTATAGACAGTCTTATCCAAAGGGCCATCTTTCAACTCATTATTCATTCATTTTGTTTAGAGCAATAGTCGGCAGGACTCATGAGATTCATAAGTTGTGTAATCAACATGTTTTACTGCAGGCTCCCACAGCAAAGTGCTTCGCTGCCTAAACAGAGGGAAAGGTAACACGAAAGAAATTGATGCCGAGGTTGAGGGAAGAGTGGATGCAGTGAATGAACGAAAAGATGCCGAAAAAGGCTGTCGAAAAGGCAGTGAATGTTGTTTAAATGGCCAGATCCAGGTAATAAAGACTGCCATGTGGTGTGCAGACATATAGATCCACTTCACAAGCTTTCATCTCCCTTTGTACCTCAAAATGACTTTCATTGGCAACTATAAAAGACAAAAAGAGTTTTAAAAAGTCATTTTGCACGTGGCTTTGTTTTAGCTAGGCCAGAGAAAATAAATACTGTGACCAAAGCTCACTTGCTGTATCCCAAGAGAGCAGACAGTGGGCAGCGTGTAGGCTGCCACTTTTGTACTGTTTTGCACAGAAGTTTGTATCAGATGTATTCATGCATCCTTATAATTATTCTTCCTTATCTCCTTCTGACTGCCGCTGATTGCTACTTGTTGGTTCTGCACTTTAAAAACAGTGTAGTTCTTCTCCATCTAAATGCAGTTTCAGCAAAAGCAATGCCTGCTCTTTAGATGTCTACTAAGTTCTCATATACTGCAAAGATGCACGGTGTGGTTTTCTCCCACTTCAGGTATCAAGTGATGCAATGATCTAGCTGTTAATTAACACATTTTGGCTTCCTGATTAAAATAATATGAATAAAAGCAGTTGACAGTGGAAAATGATTTTCAGATTAAATACCTACAACTGACTGACAACACTTTAAATCCACCACATACAACACACGTGAACCTGTCAGCATCACCACAGTGTACAGGTGAGCGTGCAACCAAATGCAAGACTGCCACAGTGTGCGGAGTTCGTGTCTCTTCTAAGACTGAGAGATTTTTAATTCGATGTCTTTCTCACCTTGTGTATGAGCACTTAGAGGCAGATATGCGGGCTTTGTTCTTGGGAGACGGCCACCTCCACCTGCTGGCTTTCGTTGTTGTTCTGTGTTCAGGGGCTCAACACAAGACTGTAAAAGTGAAAAATGATTTTCTTTTCTTTCTTGTAGACCAACTTGTGCTCACACAATCATGCCTAACCTTTCGCTGGTGTCCAAGAGTGGGGAAGAAATTAGGCACTTAATAAATTGAGACTCAAAGTCTTGCAGCATATATATAATCATGCACAAACAGTGACAGAAGTGTTGGCTACATGTGTCATGTTTTATTGTATTGAGATAGACATGTATAAAACCTAACTGTACTTAGAGTCAATAGAGGAAACTTGTGACATTGTAATGCACCCTTTCAACAGATCTGCTAAATGTCAGCAAACTGGTTCTGAGCACAATCCCAATTTGCCTTGGAATTAGCACTTTACAGTGACGATGTAATTATTTAGACAATTTATTGCCTGCTGCTAATATCTCTCAAAATAAGCTGTTCCCTTCATCTTGATCATGTGATAAATGTGGAATCGTTGTGGATAAGTCCCAGACATGCCTCAAAGCCTCGCGTCACTTCTCCCTCCTGATAGACTGAAGGAAAGGCTTAGTGACAGCGGCCCTGCCTCACTTTGTTCAAGCTAATCACAGCCGTTTTGTATACATTTCTAAATGACTTGTATTTCTACTTGTGCAGTTCACAATATGCAGATGTGATGTGCAGCGACATCTCACAAAAAATCTTCACCGCAGTTGCGTGAGATTAATCAGCGCACTGGATTAAAGGATACAGCCTACATAGGGACGTTTTTACCTGTGTACTTTAATGGCTGATACAGCGGAAGGGGGAGGATGTAGAAGAAATAAGAGGCGCGGAACTTCATTCCCGGGGGGTTTGTGGGAGGTTGTCGGTAAAAGCTGGCGTATTACTAAACTATTAAAAACCAACTGGGTATCGTATTTTCACAAAACATCGGCCTCGGTTTGCAAAAAAAAAAAAAATGCCGCACAACGACGCAGTAAAGGTTTCCTGTTTGTGCATCATCATATGTCTCTTCACTTAAATTTCACAGACAACTGGAGCGCTGGAACGCGAAATGCGAGCCTGCGCTACCTGTGCTCAAACCGGGTTTCACCTCTCAGAAAGCTTTTCGAACGCCTTTTTCTTCTTATTTGTAATGGCAAGTTGCATTTAGACGGATTTTTTTATGCCAGAAAACTGCCGACTGTAAAACTGTTTAGTTCTAGCTCTGATCTGACTTGTCGGTAGGATAGGTTAAAAGTCTGATTTTAAATTATAAAAGGTCAGTGGAGCGGAAGCGCAAAAGGAAAAGAAAATCAGCTTGTACACAGACTGGGATAATATAAAGCGCGTCATTACATTTTTAATCACCTTTTTTGGTAACGAGGAAAGTCGAGATCCACAAAGTTAAAGTTTTATAATCATCCGCGCTACATCAGCAAAGAACAGATGAATTATAAGATGAATTCCGATGTTCTCATTTAAGCAGTCGTTCGAGAAATTGTTTTTTATGTTCAATTTAAATTCCTACGTTTAATCTGTTGCATCGCTTCTTTAGTTAGACAGCGACATTAGAAAAGGGAGGAAATCTTTTATCGGCAAAGGATAGACTAATAAAATTGTCACCTTTATTTGTTAAAATATTAGAAATAATTGGAAATACACACCTGCACGCATGGCGACACTTTAGAACTCCTAAAATGTAAGTGGGTTAAATTGAATTTGGATAAATGAAATATGAGCTCAATAGAGTCGGAAAATGAAAGCTTAAAATTGTGAAGTCGTTAATATGCGCCTCTGTAAAGATTCATATTTTTGTCAAATTTAAAAATCCAAATCCAATTAAAATGGGCCCGCCTTTACGAATATTTCATCTTTTAATGCAACGACTTACTCCCTTAGCTTGAACTAAATATCTCATCGCATCCTGTCACGTTTTTTAAACAGGATGATAACAGAAATTATTATTATTGTGGTGTCCTTATAAAAAACGTTTGGGTTTTTTTGCGCAATCGAGCCTGAGCGCTGATCGCAACAGCTTCCACAAAACTGAGAATTCAGTGAAGAAGTTATGAGAAAATGCATCATTTCTCGTGTGTCTCGCTCTCTCTTGGGGATTGGAAAAGTCTGAATTTGAAGAATAAATTTCAGAGAAAGTGTTTAGCAAAGGATCGATTTAAAAGTTTTATTTGTAAACATTAAATATTTCTTTCTCTCTAAAGTTTTTTGAATTCGGCACCAAATGCGTCACAGAAGTTGTAAGTACACCATGATGCCAAAGATGTAGGCCTATATCACACACTCATGGACCTCTTCATATAAGATGGGATTTTTCAGTTCCAAAACGTGTTAAATTATAACTAGCTAGACGCTTATAAGACATAAAACATAGACAACGTGCTCAGCATGAAACTTGGATGGTTTGAAATCGTTTAAATTGCACCATGCTTAGTGTAGCTCTTGGCAATAGAAATAATAAATATATAGAAACGTTTATATTCAACAGCAACAATACTTACAGCACATACAAACAAGGAATGTCTGACAGTTTTACAAACACCATGGGTCCCTCATTTTCTATACAGATGAAATATTTTTCCACATATGCGTCATACATAAAAGGAGTGCCATAACTACGAATCAGTATCAAATCTAGCAGACTACATAGTGTCCGGTATATATTATATATAGACATCACCTCAGCAAGTGCCTATAAAAGAAAAAGGAAAAGGGGTGGGAGGGGAAAAAAAGAAACTAAATCATGCGTTGTCTTTTCTGGATGCTTTTGGGATCCTGTCAGAAACACATAGGCACGAGTCAAAAGAGAAAAGAAAATTAAATATTTTCATTATAACAAACTTTTTACACATGTTATAAACCGATGCATTGGAGGCATCACATAATCTATCATAATATACAGTGTGTGTGCGTGGGTTTATATATTTCTATATAAATGGAATATATTACATCTGAGTATGCTGAATCAGTAGAGCCGAGGTTAAACAAACAGTAAATGATTGCAAGACCAAGTTAAATTTGCTGACAGTTTGTCCACCGGAGAGCATTGACCAGTGATAATTCAGTTGTTTGGCACAAACAAAAGAGAGAAAAGGGGGAAAAATCAAGGCCCGCACAGCCATTAGACTTTGTCTTTTTTCCCCCTCGTGTTACTGTTTCACGAATTCATATTCATAATGTGGTTGTTCTGTTAGCATATGGAGCTTGCAAATATTCAGAAATAACAACTTTAAAAATCGGTCAAGTCTGACACAAATAGTCTTTTGGAAGTTCTTTGAGGTTCGCCATTGAGTCAGACTCAGAAAGGTAGGGTGTCGAGGAAAAGTTTGTCAATTATTGCTGGCGGAGGGACTAGGTCCTCTAGCTTTAGGTAAAAGATACGCTGCAGACCTTGGGTACAGAGTGTGCGCAGTTCTGGGAGCTTTCCTAAGAGTTTTGACAAGTAGTTGGGACGATTCAAGCCGCCGCCATTGAATGTCACTTGATCTTTGAGGCAGTTGACGATCTTGTTTTGGAGATCCTCGACTCTCTTGGGTTCCTTAAGTCCGTGTCGCTCTGAAAAATACAATTAACAAAGAAAAAACAGGCACGGATAAATAATCTATGATACGTCAACCCTCTCATTTTTCATAAGCGTTGTGAACCATCCAGTGTTCATAAATGCACCGTCGCCTTTACTCACCTGTTACCATGGCCAGTGCTGCGATGCAGGAAAAAGCTGAGATGTCTATATTCATACTCTGCAAGTTGGAAGAAAACTCCACGATGGCGTCTACCCACTCTCCAAATCCACGGACGCACTGTAGTCTGTGTAAAACCACTCCATTACAAAAAATAAGCTTTCCTTCCACTGGGTTGGACCTGCAGTTATTAACAAAATGTCATTAATTATGCTTGGTAATAAATGTGGATTCAAGAGCCTTCTAATTATTGGGCGGCTAATAAAGCCAAAAGCAATGAAGCTTGAAGGAGGGACTGATGATTATCTAAAGCCTAAATTGTTTTATTTAGTAATTACTCAGTCTCACCTGTATGCCAGCCGTAGGACAAAAAGTTCAAGGAAGGCGGATTCAAAGAGGAGATCTTGATCTTGCTTCGGTAGATCAGAAAAGCCAGGGATCTTCTCCGCCCAGCCTCGGATGATCTCCATGGAGCCCGTCAGGAGATCATAGAACTGCTGGATATGCTGAGTGTTGTCTCCAGTCATTTGGTAGTCAGGGTTAGCCTGGAACTGGAATTTAATTTAAACAGCGCCTTAATGAGGTCCTTTAAAATATATAATCCGTGAAATTGCAAATGCCCATTTCCAAGAAGGAGAGAAAGATTTCTTTTTTTTAACCGTTGAATTCATGTCTCCTTTTTATTAAGTTCTGCATCTCAGTGCAGCTCACTTAAAATATGTCACATTAAAAGGCTGGCAAAGTTTGGAATTCAGCGATGTATTACAGAAAACTTTCAGGGTAATATATTTAGTCCTAAAGCAGGACTAAATTAAAGGGGTCGCCAGTCTGGTTTTATCTGCTTTCTCTGAATAATATTTAACTCTTTTTTTCCCCCAAATGTTCTGTGAGTGTGTGACTTTTTATTTCTGGGATTATTCGAGTCACTTACTCTGGAGTAGTCTAAAGCGGACATGGAGGGATTGGAGTCCACATGGGCCCTAACAAGTGCGCTTATGAGGCTGACCGGCGGCGAGGGAGGGGAAGGCTCTTGGGGACTTTTGGGTTTGGATGGTAGGCGTCCTCTTCGACCTTTTAGATTGTCCGTTCGGACAACTGCAAAATATATAAAGATATGTGATTTAGATAAATCATCAATATACAAACTCCAGCTGGTGTGCGTAAATACCTATTAGTGGATAAATTCACAACCCAGTACTGCATTACGCACGTTTCCCAGTGTGTCAGATGAAAAATATTAACCACCGGGACAGAAATAATTGAATGCATAGCCCAAACGTACCTTCTCTCACCATTCCGACGACAAGGCACTTCTGGAAACGGCAGAACTGGCAACGGTTTCTTCGGCGTTTGTCAACAGGACAGTTTTTATTTGCTAAACACACGTATTTTGCATTTTTCTGTACTGTGCGCTGAAAAGAGAGAGAGGGGGAAAAAAACCACACAGTCAACTTTCGGGCCCATTTCCAAGGTTACACAATTCTGACGCACAACTTGAAGGGGAAATGCAAGGATGAAAACAATATAATATAATTTATATTGAATGTTTTGAATTGTGCTGTATGAACCAATAATAATAAGAGAAGCTCAGCAAATACGCATTAGTGGTGTTGGTTATTATTTCTTTTCATTCGATGTCACGTCTGTGTGGACAAGTATGACTGCCATGTGGTTCTTTTTTGTACGCGCACTCACACTTGTATTAAAGTCGGGTTTAGTGTTATTGTGTTGCCTTTGATTTATTTGGTTTTTAAGTAACTGAGCAGCATTTAACACACTGCGCTGTGAATAATAATGACAGAATGTCTCGCTGACGTAAAAAACAGTAACACGCATTCATTGTCGCTGTCATTTCAGCCCACCTTGAAAAATCCTTTGCAACCCTCGCAGGTTCTCACTCCATAATGTTGGCAGGCTGCGTTGTCCCCACATACCGCACACAGACCTTCGTTTGACGGAGATCCTCGGGACGGGGGCGATGGCACTTGGCTGTCCATCAGCTGGTGCCCGTGGCTGAGCTGCAGCGAGTGAGGAAAGGCCAGGCCAGACTGTTTCCGTATAGCGCTGGGCACCGCAAAACTCTGGCCGTCCGGGCCGCGGTGTGCGCCCGGGTTGTCGTGGTTCATGGACACGTGCAGCGGCCCGTCGAACCGCATCTGACAGCTGGAAACAGGAGTACCGGGCGGGGACTGTTTGAAGGAGAAGAGCGAAAGCCTTGACACCGGATTCTTGCGCTGGTCTATCATATGAGACGTGGCCGCAACATAGTTCTGGTGGAAACTGTGGAGGGAGCCAGGGTCCTCCCACATGTGATTAGGCTGAACCTGGAAGTTTGGCGTACTTGGGGCGTGAGGCGAGGAGGGTTTGAAATACATAGGCCCAGAGTGAGCCATCATTTCCTCAGACTGGGGTGGCAGGTGGCTCTGCTGATGGTAACTGTGCATCTGAATGTCCTCCACTTTGATAGAGGACTGCTCTCCGGAGTGGGGCATCTGATAGAGACAGGGCGGTTTAACGTCGTAACTGGTGTTATAGTTGTCCATGAATGTACTGAAACTTGGTAGAGAAGTAGTAGCTGTGATCTCAGTGTTGGTCAAGTCCATGCTAAACTTAACAAATTCGGGTGTTAAGAAGTCGCAGCTGTATTCTCCTGCGGTGTGGTAGCTGTAGCTCTGGGAAGCTGGACTGGCTCCTTGAGGTGATGATCCATACTGAGCCTGAACGCAGGGCATGGCTGAAAACCAGACGGGTGCAAACAAATTAGAATTTTTCACATAAATGTTTAAACGGAGAGGGAAAGTTTTATATATCAATGTAAAATTATATGAAATGTCCACAGCAAAAACTACACTAATTTAAACAAGTGTGGGATTTCAGGTAAAAATAAAACTTTAACACATAAATGTTTCACATCCTACCTCAAGTCTTCTGACAGTTTTCCGGTGACACTTGAAATGGGTAATGTCAGGAGCTGTTGTGTGGGTGTCGGGATAGAAGAATGCGACTCTGTTCTGGTTCTTCCCCTAATAAAACACAAAGCTTTGGAGTTACTAGATTATACAATAAAACAATCTCTCTAAAAGGAGAGATCACACATTGGTTAAGGATAAGTCTATTTGCGCGCAAACCATACCCCGTTTCCAAACGTGCAGAGCATGTTACAACATTTTATTCAGTGTTCTAATGAATATGAACAACATGCTATAGAAACCAAACCACAAGTATTTCTTTTCTTTTGTTAAGATGCTGGTTCGACGTGAACAGACCAACTTTGCGCACTTGACACTAGTAAAAACTTGTCTAAAAAGCAGAAAGCTGAAATGTGGCATTAAATGACAGTCACATCTGAATAGTCTCAGTCAAACTTAATTGCGTGTAATTTCAATTTAAGGATAGAAAAAAGACTTAGATTTTAAAAAAAAGATTTCAATGCCTCGGAGAAGCCGGACAGGACGAGCGAATTCGGAGATTATGTTGCAAGAAAAGAATGAATGAATCTTACCTCTTTCACATCAGGATCGTGACTTTCTGTCCATGCGATAAGCATGTAGGTGGTATTCATCAATTTTAGTAAAAGCTCCAAATCACGAGCGTAGGTACAAGCAATGCCAAGCAGGGAAGTGAGTCCGCGCACCAACAGCGACACGAGCTTCGACTATCCAGTCTGGCCAATGTGGCTTTGTTTATGTGAGCTCTAGATACCCTGGCCCACGTGTTTCAGTGCGCAACGTCATCGGCGTCGACATCGACGCGGACCAATCTCCTCGGGAGCTTTCTCAAGCCCCAATTTTTCTGGTGAGTATGTTTGTCTTGTGGTATGTGTTCTGTGTTGCTTCCCACATGGACATTAGCAGAGATGTAGTGGAGGATAAACCCACCTAAACTCAGTTCAGACACCTTGGTGTTTGCACAGGGCTTACGTCATGCTTGTTTTAAGCTGACATGAGTCTATGTGATATGATTTCGATGTATTTGCCACAAATCTCTAAAGTAAATGATGCACGTTTCCGATGGACTGGTGCTGTCACTGTTGTTTTCCTCACTGTTCTGGCATGCGGGAATAGTATTTACAATCGGGGAAAGTTCATTTACTACCATGCACTACTCCAAAAAAAATGAAGGTACACTCCAAGGTTGCAGCAGGCCAATATGTAGCCAAGTGTGCGGTGTATTTTTGTGGCATTAAAACAAACGTACACACACCCCTAAGTGGAAACACGTCTCCTTACTAGCACTGAGTTTATGCATGGCCTGGTTGTCGGTATTTGAATGTGAAATTAAGATGAGTGTACACCGGGACACATATAAGGCACAGTTATGTCACAACGTCACAATGCTAGACTCACTGTAGTTGTATGAAATAGCCCTAATGAAGCAGGGGTCAATATTATTCTTTGTTATCTTCTGACAGGATTTCTGTAGGCTATTTCAATTGTGTTCCAAATTTAGACCTCAGATGGGGTGGGGTCTGCGAGGTGGGCTGCCTATTCATAGCGCTGGTAGCGCGCGTGTGTGTGTGCGCGCGAGAGAGAGCGCTTCTGTAGGAGGAAGGGGGGATAATTAGCGGGCCTGTAGCCAGTTGTCATGGGGGACCCAAAACAGGGAAACGTGATAGCAGCGCGCAGAATAAGAGTGACGCAGAAAACGCTCAAGTTGACGCGGTCGCCAAAATAATCTGCTGGCCTTATTGTTCTGCAGCGATGGAATAACTGATCTTCGCCTAATCTTACACCAACACCTTGTAGCCAGTCGAGTTGGCCTAAATCTTTCTAGATGTACGCAGGCTTGGGAACCAGGCCCAAGAGAGCGAGCAGAAAGTGCATTCGCAGAGATGTGGCTCCACACGCTACAGCAGGATCTCGCCGCATGCAGCATCATATGTTATTGCTGTTGGACTGCTGCTTTATTACATGAACCACAGAACAACCATCAGTCTTGAAGCTGTTTTATGTACTGCCCCGTACTCACAGCACACACAATAAGAGTGCGCAAGAAGAGGGGTGGGGGAAAGAAAACTGTATATCATGGTTACACTCACCTCTAGAGGACACTATTGTTCGCCAGCCATACATCACAAAGCTCCTGTTTCTTACAATTAACCTTTTAATTAACCTAACCCCATTAAGACTGTGTGGTCACGCCCAGTCGTTTTCAGGTGGACTATAAGACGGGATTTGTAAATTACAGTTTCCCCACACTGAACTGTGGATATCCGGAAGTAAAATATTGTTCCTTTTGCATAGATTATGGCGCTTTTCACATTGTACTGACCCAGTCTTGTGTCATCATGATTTCGGCTCATTAAACAACAGTTATCCTACAGCCATGTAAATATATTTACATAAAGTGGAATATGTGACCAACCTCCACAAAAAACACAAAAACTATTTTGACTTAAAACGCTGATGACAGGACGCCGCTTGGTTTTTATTGACTGGTAACAATTTTCCATTTAAAATTAAGCTCGGTTAGCGTTTAATTGGCCGTTTTACCGAAGAGTAATTAACTTCCTATTTGTGTGCACAGTTAATTGGCAGTCTGATGTGAATCTAACGGGTTAGTTGTAATCATACGGAAGATTATATGTTTAGGTTTGTTTGTAGAAATGCCAGAATGTGTAGCTTTGACTCTCTCTCTCTCTCTCTCTTTTATCACCGTGGGAGCCCCCATTATTAATTTCTCCCCGGGTGCAATCGAAAACTCTGTGGGAAATGCGTTTTATTAGTAGAAGAGACACTCTCGTCATCTCAAGGTCAAAGGATACCATATGAGTCTCAGTTACAGTGAGACCAGGGTCTGCCAGCTCCCCGGGGATTCGACCCTGAGTGCGAGGAGGGATGCGAACAGTGAGCCCCACTTGATTCGCTGGTCTCCATCATGAGTGTGGTTGTTATTAGCAACAGGCCCAGCGCAAAGAAACTTCAGAGTCAATTTTTTTGTTTTAATCCCTTTTGACAAGTCGGTTCAAATTAACGTCTTTACCTCCAGCAAGTATTCTTCACTATTTTTTTTGGGCGATTTGATATAGTCTATTCCTTTTCCCCTTCTCTGGAGATGTAATGTTCACATATAGTAGATGGATTTCAGGTATGGACCAAACTGACCATGTGGTGCAGTCTTCTCAGATACTGTGCAGCTCCATTTGACACATTTTAAGAGCTTTATTAACAACATTTGCATTTCAGTATAATACATTACAGCTTTGCTGCTGTGATTGGTTAATAAAGAGGATAAAAAAAAAGTGGTCATTTTCAGCAGTGAAATATGTGTTCAGATACCTGCAAAAGAAGTACATGGCATTTTAGCACAATGAAAAGTACAGGCTACTCTTCTACAAGTGTTTAACAAGTGAAGCATTTATGTGAAGCGGAAGGAAACAAAGTGCATTTACTAAAGTACTGTAGTAAAATTCTGACTTACATGCATACTTATTTCTTACTGCCAGCTGCAGTGGAGAACACTGTACTGTTTTACTGCACAACATTTACAGGTCAGCTATAATAAAAGATTTAACAGAAGAAGATTTTTCATGCAAAACAAGGTCAGCTCTCAAATACGATTATGTGTTTTAATTTAAGCAGCAAAATAAAATATAGGGACAATAGGTACAATTATCATCAATATCAGCAGTTTTGTTCAATACTTTCTTGGGCATGGAATAACTTAATTGGACTGAACATTTTTTACCTTTTTTGTGCTATTTTTACTTAAGAATCAACACTTCCTGAGCTGTTTGTAACATGCAAATGACACTTTTGTTGTAGATGGTTATTGCTTTGGCATAAGTCGTCCCACATTTACCGTTTAACAAGATGAATTTCTTTTGCTTCTTAGCAATCATATTAGATATGACATATGTTTGTTTATGAAATAACCTACAGAATAACAACACCGTTTCCCTCTAACACTATGCAGCATGTGAAGTTGCAGAAAATTGTGAAAACTCCATGAAACACCACTTTCTCATTATTGTATTGAGCACATAAGCTACTCAAATTAAGAATAAGTGGGAACTGAGAAAGAGGCTTCCACTTCTTAAAGACCTAATCGTCGCGCCATCTTTAAATTGCATTGTCTTTTTTTGTGAAATTGGATTTAAATTAGAAAAGAAGTTGCGCCGTTCTCCTTAAACTGCAGCCTAGATAGTTTGCAAAATCTCCCGGTCGCTTCTACAAACCTCATTTCATCTCAAAGCACTGGCAGGTATCAAACTTTCTGAGAATTGAACAGCCAGACCCTGAAGGCATCCCTTTGCTCAGTGTCTTCTTTCCATTTCTAGATTCCCACTTTACAAGCTTAAATGTCTACTTAATATGCTTTAATGCCTGCTCTTTAGAGCCAGGGTGCACTTCATCACTTTTATACACCTTTATATAACACACTGTTAACTAGCAATGCCTTATGGAACAGCTTGTCTTGCAGCTGGAAGGCTCCTCCATGGCATGATGGAGGTACCTGTTCACCATTCACAATGAGACAGTAAAATGGGAATAGAAGCCTCTGCATACTGCTGCTGTCTATATCAGTCAACGATGAATATTCATGAATCACAGTGTCATGACATGCTCTGTAATTGGCAGCAACATTAGTAATGACACTGCTGGTATCAATTCCCTGCATATTCATGTGGTGGGGCAATATTTCCTCGTGGTGCTGGGTTTTTTTTTCTTTTTTTTCAATCCTCCTGAAAGTGAAAATGTATTCCGAAGCTGCAGGTGTCCCTGGTTTCACAATCAATTGCTGGCTGGATTGTGCCCCAGTGAAAATCAGACAAACCATTAGTTTCTTTGTCAGTTTCTTTGATTAATAATATATCTGAATTATGAAAGGTTGAGAGGACGCTAAATATTGTAAAGTGAATTTCTTTCTAATAGTTATGAATGTGGACCTTAAAGACTCCTATATACCATGTCAGTGCCACTGGCTATTGGACTTTTAAAAGATCATTGATATAAAGCGTTGATTACTCTTGCCTTAAAAGTAACAAACCCAGATCATTTATTTTTGTAGATCACTAATAAGCATATGCGCTCTGCTTCAAACAATTTTTTATTCCATCCGATCCGTTTGAGGTTTGATTAGATTTTACAGTTTTCACAGGCACGCTCTTCCGATAGGCCAGACAGTGCGGCAGATTTCTTTGTGTACTGGAATTTGCTGCGATTCCATTTCGGCCCCACCAAAGTGTCCTAGAATGGATAATGAGGGAATTGGATAAAGCTTTGCATAAGCTGGAAGGCTTTCCCCTCTAAGTAGCTGGAGGAGAGGATTTTTCCTCTCATGGGTTCAGTTTGCCATGAACCGTCCAAACTGTGTTGTGAGGAGGCAGACCTGTTTCTCCACAAACAGGAAAGGCTGCATTAGTCATGTATCGAGTGATAAAGAAGTATTCAGATAGCTGTGGAAGAAAAAGTAAAAGTACCATTATCAGTTAACAAGTACAATGTATATTTTTAGTCTTACTACTAAGCGAATGTATCTCTGTATATGAGTCTCTCTGCATTTCTCCATGACTGTTCATCATATTTGGTGGATGTATTCCTGAGGAACAAAAGAAATGCGGTGTTGAGCTTGAAGATTTTTTAGTTCAGTGTGCACGAAGCATTTAGCATTTAAATCTCATAACCGCGCACTCTACCTCTTTAAATTGCCTGAGTCTCAGCACAA